TTTCGGTGCCGAGCCGTTCGCACCCTTTCGGTGCCGAACCGTTCGCACCCTTTCGGTGCCGAACCGTTCGCACCCTTTCGGTGCCGAACCGTTCGCACCCTTTCGGTGCCGAACCGTTCGCACCCTTTCGGTGCCGAACCGTTCGCACCCTTTCGGTGCCGAACCGTTCGCATACCCTTTCGGGCCGAACCGTTCGCACCCTTTCGGTCTCGAACCGTTCGCACCCTTTCGGTCCCGAACCGTTCGCACCTTTCGTTCCTGAACCGTTCGCACCCTTTCGATCCCGAACCGTTCGCACCATTTCGGTCCCGAACCGTTCGCACCCTTTCGGTCCCGAACCGTTCGCACCCTTTCGGTCCCGAATCGTTCGCACCCTTTCGGTCCCAAACCGTTCGCACCCTTTCGGTCCCGACCCATTCGCACCCTTTCGGTCCCGACCCGTTCGCACCCTTTTGGTACCGACACGTTCGCACTCTTTCGGTCCCGATACATTCGCACCCTTTCGGTCCTGCCACGTTCGCACCATTTCGGTTCCGATACGTTCGCACCTCTTGGGTCACGACACGTTCGTACCTCTTGGGTCACGACACGTTCGTACCTCTTGGTTCATGACACATTTGTACCTCTTGGGTCACGACACATTCGTACCTCTTGGGTCACGACATGTTCGTACCTCTTGAATCACGATACGTTCATACCTCTTCGGTCATGACACATACAAATATTATCTTCTAAAAAGTCAATATTAATATTTAAACTTATGAAAATGTATGAAAATATATTTGTGGCTATTAAAATGAAATATATGCATTTTCAATGAAGAGTTGTCAAATATTTGATGACATCATTAATCATATGAAAAGGTTTTTTTTGGTCCATTAAATCTTTAAATCAAGTTAACTATGACCATTGGATTGAATTTTTTTTTTCCTATAAAAAAATGCTGATGTCACTTTCAGTTTGCTATTATATATAGATAATTTTAAATTTTAATTGTTGATTTTTCTTGCTTTTTCTTCTTTACCTGAAAGAGGCCACAACAGATTTGTTGATTTTTTTTTTTTACATCAAAAGATATTGATGCACTATGTTTTTTATTCAATATGTTTTGAGTATATATCAACATAATATACACCTCAGAATCATATAATTATATCCAGTTGCTGAGAAACTTTATATCTTATGTTATACATATGTACATACTACATACCATCTCAAAATTTACAGAGATCCTATTCAGAAAAAAACAATTTTTTTTTTAAATCTGAAATAGTTTATATGCTGTTTCTGATAGGATATTCACTACAAAAAAATATCACATATATAACATCTGAAAAACGCTATTATAACAAAACACAGCGTTATGGCAAACGCTGTGTCTGCCCCTGTACTCTTTTCTTCGGCACTTTAGATAACGTTTTTGTAATACTATTTTAAATATTCCATTCAATAGCGTTTAGGTTTTGTGCAATTATATTTCTTCCTCGTTAAGCAAATGTGTCTCTGCACTCTACTCGTGTGATCTCCTCCGCATCACTTCAGCATCTGATTGTTGTCGTGGCTGTGGTTTCTGTTCTGTAGTGTATCATCAAACAAACTGTGCTATGAGAATTAGTAGGAACAAGTGAAGAAAATTTAACTCAAATGAAACAAGCCATTCAAGCAAGTGTTTTCAATTTACATGCGACTTTGAACTGTGAGAAGGAACCGTACCAAAAGACTGAATGATATCACCGCCTTCTTTGCAAATCTCAAAGCAGCCAGCAGCCACGTCTTGGTTGTTACACCATACCAAACAAAAAAAAAGAAGAAAAGAATTAGCTAACGAAAAGCCATTGGAATAAACTACTAAAGTAGAGTTTGGATGTGAAGTGATCCTTGAGCAGAGAAGACGAGAGCAAGAATCTACCTCTGTCCAAAATTATAGTGCCACTATAACAGACATCATAAGACTCAGCCACCCACCAATTCCATGTCCCCCCAATAACAGAAGCTTCATATAGAAAATTAATGATGTGAGCGATGTATGTCATGCGAAGCTCACCATACACAAAAGAGCTAACAGGAACTGAAAAAGACATGTCCTCCGGATGTAACTGTATGGCCACATCGAGACGATGGTGCTTGACCAGGAAGCTTGAGTTGGGTCCATCCAGGTGTTTCACGCTCTTCCTTGCACAACAAAGGTAAACCACAATAAGATCAGCAAACATAACATAACAAATAAGGCAAACAAGAGGACATTCCTATAAGATCCAATGTAATTTTCAAGTAACTTAATTACCTTCATCTATTAGACCCTTCAAAGCCCATGATAGGGCCACCACCTCCTGTCAAAGATAACCATACCACACACAATAATCGCAGTTTAGTTGTTATCAGCTCAAGCAAAAAAAATGTTTTTGGTTCTAGTATACATCGGCCACCAAAAACAAGTAAACGTTTCTCAACCATGGTGGCTGTATTACCACATCTAGGAGGTGGCAACGACCCCGAAACAGACAGCTCCATCCATTCGAGGGACACTAATGGATACCAAAAAAAGTTGACATTATTATAAACTGGAATTAGTTTTTTTTTTTTTAACTGAAGTAGACGAGAGATAAAAGGTCTTACTTGTGTCGATAACATACAAATCTAACAGCCATTTTTACCATCTCAGCCACCACACCTGCCAAAAATCATAGGTTAAGCCACTGCAGGCAACAAGCTGATGAACATCTTAATTTTTTATACTTACAACACAATCTAATAGCAGCCAACATAAATAGGTGTCTCACAGAACTGCCGAAGCAAAGTATTAAAATTTTCAAGCAGGTAATTAACGACACTGTTATAACTTAATTACCTGTATCTAGAACCTAGAAGTTACCCAGCCTGAAATTGATACTCAAATGAAAACCCTAATCGCAAAAGCCCCAATCAAAACACTAAAACTGAAACAAATCAAAACCCTAATTGCAAAAGCCCAATCCAAACCCTAAAACTGAAACAAGGGAAACCCTAATCGAAAACATGGGTTGATGATGAGAGTTAATCTCACCGGAGTTAATCTCGCCGGATTTAATCTCACCGGCGTTATCTTCGAGCGTTGATGGGTTGCTGTTGTTGATACTGTTGCGTTCGGATTCGGCTGCAGAGGGGAGAGGCGTTCTTGGGAGGTGACGACGGCGACGAACTCAGACCGGTCTCTTCTTTTTCCTCCAGTAATCTCAATATCTCATCTCTTTCTGTCTCATCTCTCATCTCTCTGTCGTGTTTCAGAAAAAAAAATGGAGAGAACCAGAGGAAGAGTTGAGATGAGAGGAGTTTTTTTATTTTAATTTAAAAATAAGAGGGAAAACGAAACAATATCAACCGCTTCTATTTCACTAAGTACTTAGCGGGAAAATGAAATTATTTTTCGGTTTAGACTAAAGATAGCGTTTAAAAAAGTAAAACATAGCATATATATTATAAAACACTATCTTAAAAAAGGGAAATTTGCCAAAAAAAAGACAAAAAAATCAACATATTGTTCCCTTAGAATTATACTTGAGATTTTTGTCCACTTAGTATAAACAATAATGATAATCTCATTTTATCCTTCGTATTAGACCCAAAGTGTGTATCAAATATATTATTATTATTTAGTTCTCTTGTTTTATTTCGTATTCTGTTTCCTCTACTAAAGCTTCTCACATGACTTCACATCTGGTGGCGTGAATACGAGCTTCGTTGGATTGACGGTGATGAAGAGAAGAAGAAACATACAAGCAAATCGATCTGATAGGGAGGGAGGCCGGTGGTTCTTAGTCCGACATGACGCTAAGGACCTTCGCAAGTTCCATCGCCATCAACACGCCCTTGAGGTCTCTC